ACATGATGACAAGGAATGTAATGAATAATGCATATGTTGCACCGCGATACCAAACTGTCGTTGCAAAGTATTCATCAGATGTCACGTCCGGAGTCTCATTAACTAAATAACCATCTCCATAGAATATAGTGTTATATTCAAACTCACCAATCATCATCACAAACGTTTTTACTAATGTTTCTTGTGGAGTTTTGAATGGTTCCTGAAAACATAAAACAATTCAAATAACCTCATTCATTAATAAAATTAAAAACTAAATGATGTACATCAAGGTCCCATGATGTCCCAGGTATGTTTGAACAACATCCATCCATACACAACCAGGATCTGGTCCGGAATAACAGGAATGCTTAATTTTGATGAATTTTTAGCAAAAAATTGGCTTCCATTCGGCCATTTTGAATCATATGTGAATGCATAAGCGATGTTTGAATGTGAACAGCCCAACCACGTCTGAGACACACTTGCACATGAACACACACAGGTCAGAGTTTTGTTTTGATGATCCAAATTAATTCAGTGATATAAATGATTGTCTCGTCTTCAACAGTGTTTATCATTTTATCAATTAACCAAAATGAAGCAGATATGCTAGACTAGCATGTGTTCAAAACATGCAGACCTACTGTCAAGTTCTATGTTTCAGTTCATCTTAGTTTTACAAATTTGTTAAACGAATTATCCAAACATTCACCAACACAAATATGGAAAACAATCCAATTTACTTTATTTTTTTATTCACATCTGTATTGCATTTTAGTCAAAATCCTAATACGAACGCAATAAAGATAATTATCACTAATGGTGCATTCAAGTAACTTACCTGATTCATCAGTAGTACATAAAATGCAAGTCCAAATGCAACAATGAACAGGAAAAATACAATGAAGAATTTCAGGAAAGTATTTAATACATTGAAGAATGGTATAAATGAAAAAAAAAAAATATTGTGAATATACACGTACTACACTGGTAAAAATGAAAAAAAAAATATTATAGATATTGTACTCAGGTAAAAAAGAATATATTGTGAATATACTTGTACTATACTCTGGTAAAAATGAAAAAAAAAATATTATGGATATTGTACTGGGTACTCAGGTAAAAATGTAAAAATGTCCAAATACACATTTTGATATCAAGTATGTATACAATGCTTTCACTGTGGCTCGGAGAAAGAAAAGAACTCAAAAACAACATTCAATCAGAATTCATTAAAGATAATGTACTACTGGGAAAACAGAAAGGGGGGAATACAGTCTGGTTACACAGACTTGCCTATGATTAGGAATGAAACAGTCTGACGCATTTCTTGGTGAATTTTAGTGTATGTAATATTTATTTAAATTATAAATAAATGTTTCTTGTTGTGAAAGTGCTGAGTATATC